GCCCGTGTCCCCCAGCATACCCCGGGGGAGCCCACTGCCACTTCGCACGGCTGCCTCCGTATCAGAGGCAGCAGCGCGGGGTGCCAGGTGGGAGATGGTCTGTGAGGGGAGCTAGTTTAAAAACCAGCTCCCCTCATGGACTGGCTGCCTGTTGCCCTGTGCTGCTGCCTCTGATAAAGATAAAGCAACCCATGCTTGGGGGGGATCTGAGCTCTTAGGCCTGACGGGAGCCGGAACTGAGCCGGGCTGCCTGCCCGCCCGGATCCCAATACACTTTAAATGCAGAGCTGCAGCAGGAGTAGGTCCCAGACCCATCTCAAGCCAAGACTGAGCCAGGCTGCTGGCCAGCCTGCTAAAAAATGTACTGGCAAGAGGGGGGAGGGGAGGGAAATGCATGTAGTCTATAGCATTAACCGATAAGTTTTTGCGTATTGGTTAATTAGATAATCGACTACACTATTACATCCCTAATTCAGAGTTAATTTGGCGTAGTTGCACAAAGAAATTCATACTTCTCTGAACTGTTGTCTCAAGCAATCTGTGGTTTCACACATCACTGTTGTAATAAGCTTAGGTAATTACAGTCATAGGCTACTCCCACTCCTGCTAGGGGATGGTTTAGCCTCCCTGTGGTGACTGCGGGAGGTAATACCCTTTTCTGGACATTCCAACCATTCAGTTAGCTACTGTGAAAACACTTTAGATAATTCTTGAGACCTCGTCCTAATTGTCTTGCCCGTAATGGTTAAAACCAAAACCATAAACAGTGGATCTTAAAGCATCCCCAGGAATGCTAAGGAAGCAGAAAGTGAGTTGGCAGGTGGTGAGGAGAGCCAGTGGAAACAGAGTTTTGACTTTTGAATTGGAAAAGTGACTTTCTTGTTCCAGTTGTGTAACCATAGTAGAGTCTGTGAAGACATGAATTAAGCTAGGGAGCTAGGCATGAAGTATTCAGCCACATCCATGCCTAGCAAAGAACTAAATCTTGGAAAAACAGATATGTGAGTAGAACAGGGAAAGTTTAGTGAGATGCTATCAAGTGATTTTCTTTATTTTTGTGTTTATTGGACTTCTGTGCTGAGCGCATGTAACTATCCCTTACATTCTAACTTTCCAAATTGAGTCCTGAGGAAACAATTCTCTGTATTTTTTCATTCTTTTTTTCAGTTGCTCTGTAACAACAAGCAACCAAGTAACATTTCACCAATTGTGTTTTTGTTATTGTTGTAATTAATAAAAATCACCCTTTTAAGACCATGATCTGATTCCTAAAAGGCAGGAGGTTCTGTGTGCACATGCCTAAGATTGCAAAGCCAAATTACTAAGAGAAATTAAATTTTTCAAGTCCTCTCCAGAGGGAGGGTTAACTTGTGGGTACCTCACCGGAAGGAATTCCCAAGTGCATCTTCCTGGGTTCTGAAGTAGATTTTGAATTTGGGTGGTGGCAGCGATCTGAGGCCAGGAAATCTGTGACCTTGGGGAATTTTAACACAAGTCTTTATAGGCAAGGTATTTTTACAGTCTCTTGTGGACCCTCACTTTCTGCACTTGGAGTGCCAGAGTGGGGAACTTGACAATCTAGACTAAAAAACATGAAAAAGTGACTTAGCCCTCCCTTTCACAACCACCTTAGCTATGATGAATATTAGCTTGGCTTAGCTAATGATCAATTATTCTAATAATTTCAATGAAAATTCAGAGCCTGAATAGTTGTGTTCATCAGGGTCCAATCCTCCATATGAGCAGACAATCTTTGTGTGTGTGTGTGTGCAACTGGAAAAAAAAACCCATAAGTGTAAAAAAAGATGCTTGAAAGTAATTGGTGCAAATTATAATTTTATTGTTTTCAACAAATTACTATATTTCATACTTATTTAAATAATAAATACAATAAATAACATTTTTCCCTTTCAGCATATTTTTCTTGCTTTTTCCTTATTCACTTGCTGAAAGGTTGTTTGGACGACTGTTAAGAATTCCTTCACGGGCACCGTAGAATTTGAGTCACAGGCGATTTTACAGAGCAGAGACTGTGGCAAGGGGAAAAAAAAAAGATAATTAAACAAACAAAAAATGGAAAGATTAAGAAGTCCCTGCCTCAACATTGTAGATATAAGTATGTAGTCTTAGGTCTAGAGCAGGCTTTCACTGCTTTAGTCCTGTGCGGTAAAGGGGGGTTGGATTGAGGGTGTGAATGGTGATGGGTTCTATCACAATGTATCATCTTACTTCATTCCACATCTCTGTAAAATCAGGTCTACGCTACAGAACTTTCTGGATATATCTGTAATATTAAGGGGTGTGAAAAATC